TCACTGCTCTTATCCAATTCTGACAGGTAAATCAAAGCTGTTGCCAGGTTTTGTTTTTGTTTTTTGGTATTGAATCCAGGGGTACTGTACCACTGACATCCCCACCCCCCTTTTTAAATTTTTTTGTCGTTTTGTTTTTGTACAGGGGATTGTACCCTAAAGCTGCTTAACTACTGAGTCTCATTACCTGTAGTTAATTTTTTTTTATTTTGCTGGGTGTGGTGGCGCACACCTGTAACCCCAGTGGCTTGGGAGGCGGAGGCAGGAGGATTGCAAGTTCAAAGCCAGCCTCAGCAAGAGGCACTAAGGAATTCAGTGAGACCCTGTCTCTAAATAAAACACAAAATAGGACTGGGGATGTGGCTCAGTGGTCGGGTGCCCCTGAGTTCAATCCCCAGTACCCCAAACAAAAATTTTTTTTATTTTTTTATTTTAAGTGTATCACTAAAAGGCTTACAGCCTCGCTAAGGTGCTGATGCTGTCCTCAAACTTGGAGTATTCCTGTCTCAGCCTCCTGAGAATTTTAGGTATACACCATCACACCCAACTTTTTAAATATTTTATTTTGAGACAGGGTCTCACTAAATTCTCAGGCTGGCCTTAAACTTGCCATCCTCCTGTCTGAGCCTCTTAAGTAGCTGGGATTACAGGTGGGTGCCCTATGCTCAGTTTATTGCCAGTTTGTTAGCAAGAGGCAATTAAATGAATGGAAGATGCAACCATTCTTTCTTAGGGATCCATAAAATTGTATTCTAAGTGGCCCATTGCCCAACCAGTGAGAATATGTTCAGAAAAAAAAGACATTAGGGCTGGGGATATAGCTCAGTTGGTAGAGTGCTTTCCTCGCATGCACAACACCCTGGGTTCAATCCTCAGTACCAAAAAAAAAAAAAAAGAAAGAAAGAAGGCATCAGAAGCTAATTGGAGAAGAAGTCTCCACTCTTTATTTGCTTACTCAAATCAATTCTCATCTAGCACAGATGCTGCAGTGTTCTAAAGAACTGTTTACTTAGTTTTAGACAGGAAGACCCAAACTCTTGCTGGGCCCAAATCATACTTTTGTAGGAGATGACCCCTAAAATAATTGACACCCATAAACTCACATATTTATATTCTAGAAAGTGCTGTCCAGACCAAGTGCAGTAGTGCATGCCTATAATCCCAGTGACTTGAGAATCTAAGGCTGGAGGATCAAAAATTTGAGGCCAGATTCAATTATTCAGTGAAAACCTCAACAATTTAGTGAGATCATGCCTCAAAAAAGTAAAGGGGCTAGGATGTAACTCAGTGATAAAGCACCTTGGGGTTCAATTCCCGGTACCAAACCAAATCAAACAAAGCTGGGCCCCATCATGCACACCTGTAGAACCAGAGGCTCGGGAGACTGAGGCAGGAGGATCGCAAGTCCAAAGCTAGCCTCAGCAATTTAGCTAGGTCCTAAAGCAACTCAGCAAGACCCTGTCTCTAAATAAAATATAAAAAAGGGCTGGAGTTTAGGGCTTCATCATGTCTTTTGGGGGGGACACAATTCAGTTAATAACAGGGAGATAATGTTTTGCTTAATTGGTGTTCAAGGTGGGTGCTCCCTATCAAATTGATAACAAACATTCATCTGTAAAAAAACATTCTCAACTTTGGTCATACATACATAGGCAGTGCTCAGATTTGGCTTGTGGGCCATAGTTTGCTGACCCCTGGTTAAGATATAGATATACAGATAGTAGAAATGATTTAAACAACAGCGGCAACAAGGGAAGAATGATAATATTTAAGGTAGTTTTTACTTGTGGGGTGGGACAAGGAAGGAGGATAGAGTGGAGAGGAATAGACAGGTGGCTTCTAGGGTGGTGGCAATATTTTATTTCTTGGTTATACCACCGTTCATTTTGTGGCTCAGTGGTTAACCGCCCCTGGGTTCAATCCCTGGTACCACCTCTCCCCACAAAAAAAAGTGTTGTCCAGTAAGATTTAAATTTGAACTGATTAAAATAGAATAAAATAACAAATTTAGTTCCTTGTTCACCCTAACTACATTTAAAGTGCTCAGTAGCTCCCTAAGGCTAGTGGGGCTACTATATTGGTACTGTATTGGACAGTGAAGATGTTGGTGGTCACATCAAGTTCTATTGGACAGTGCTAGTCTGGAATGGCATACCTTTACAGACCTTTTTTTTTTTTTTTTTGCAGAGACAAACATAAGTCCACACTTCCTCATCTGTAAAGACAGAAAGCACCTCCCTCCCCACAGGCATATGTACAATCATTACATGGTTATTACTTGACTTCAGCAGTTCTTCCTACTTTTCTTAATCTCTCGATCTTTAAGTCAACAGCACACTCCACATGTACTCTATTTTAGCCCATCTTCCTCCTCTTCACTGATGATGATTCTTCATGCTAGGTTTAGTTCCCATAGTCCATGAAATGCCTAACTCCTTGTCACTACTTAGAGATTGTTTTGGAAACCTATGTTAACAAACAAGCTGGAATCTGATGGGCGATATGACTCTTTGTCCTGCTGAGTCATTGAATTGGCTGAAGGAAGGACTGTAGGGAGAAAAGCTGCATACAATCATTTCTATTAGAGATTTTGCTATTTTGGTATTGGCATGTCAAAAATAAGTCACTATATGAACTGCTGGAACAATTTGGTGCTGGGAAGATGCCTTTCCTAGGCAAGATTTGAACTCCCAGTGTTTACTCTGAATTGTATTCTGCTTTGTTCTCTCAGAAAGATTAATTTTGCCTAATTTTAAAGCTTTGATTTTTTTTGAGAAAAAGGAAAAAGGTTTAGGTTTATTGCTTTGCTAGCAAAGGAGAAACACAGGGAATTCCTGTCCCAAAAGCTGTGATTCTGCCTATCCATAGGGATACAGTTAAAGCATCAAGTGAACCCCTATCACAAAATCAAACTCATGGCATTAAAAAAAATTGTAAGATATGAAAAATTTAGTTTCTATCAAAATAGGTTCCTGCTCTCATAATGTTAGGTTAAAAAAGTATAAATTTACTGGAATTTTAAAACAAGAAACTGACTGGGCCTCTCAGCACACGCCTGTAATCCCTGTGATTCCAGAGGTTGATGCAGGAGAATTGCAAGTTCAAAGTGAGGCTCAGCAATTTAGCAAGGCCCTGAGTAACTTAATGAGACCCTGTCTCTAAATAAAAATATTTAAAAAGGGCTGGGGATGTGGCTCAGTGGTTAAGTGACCCTGGGTTCAATACCCAATACCAAAAACAACAACTAAATAAAGGCAGAGCTGCATGTGCCCATCCACCCCTCTAATCCCAGAAATTTAGTGGCTAAGGTAAGAGGAGGATCACATGTTTGAGGCCAGCCTCAGGTAATTTAATGAGACCCTCTCTCAAAAAAAAAAAAAAAAAAAAAAATCAAAAGGGCACGGGTGTAGCTCAGTAGTATATAATACCTCTGGATTCAATTCCCAATAACACAGAAAACTGAAATAACAACAAAAAGCACCAGAGGCAGAGAAGATTTGTCAGCACAGAGAAGGCAGTGTTGTTGATGAAAGCTTGGTCCTGGTCGCCGATGCCAATCCAATAACAAGGACACCGTTTTGAGAAAAAGGAAAAAGACGGGTTATTGCTTTGCTAGCAAAGGAGAAACACAGGGGACTCCTTTCCCAAAGACTGTGGTTCTAGCTTTGATTCTTTTTATGGAGGCAAAAATAAATCTCTACCATCTAGGCCTTTTTCGCTTTCCCAGGATTATCACTAAAGTGTCTTTGATGTTATATTTTTATCCAGGAAGCAGACAAAACTTCTAGATATTCCAGCACCCACAGGATGAGTCTGAATCTGGTTGGCCAATGGCGATCAGGAAGAGCATTTAAAAAGCCTCAAAGCTTTTGCTTCAAGCTGTAGAGAAATGTAAACCCAAGCGCTGTTTATGCTCCCCCTTTAACCCCTCCCCCCAAACCTATGACTACTCGTTTGACTGTTCAGCAATTCTGATGCCAACGATTTACAACGGTGAGGAGCTGGGTCTGGTGAGTACAGGACTGGGCATGGAGTCGGCACTCCGGTGTCTGACTCACTGCAGAGCTTGAGGAAGTCGCTCTTACCTCCCCCGTGTTGCCCCTCACCTGCTGGAGGTGGGAGGGCGGGGAGGGTTGTGCTGAAGAAAGTCCGTTTTGCATCTACTCACGCTATGGATGGGCAGACCTAAATAAAAAAGGACCCCCCCCCCCCCCCCGCAGAGTGTCACAACAAATAAACCTTCAATGAATCCATGTGTCCAGCCTGGACTCCTGAGACCCTACCTGCCCACTCTAGCAGCACTGATGGACACTCGCGCTGGGGTGCCGGTGGTTTGGGCGTCTTGGAGCAGGCAGATCATACCTTTACCTCCGTTTGACAAGATAGCTTTCCACAACAGATACTAGAAACTGCCCACACCTGTCCAAGCAAAATTAACCCAACAGTTGCCATGAGACTTATTTTTCCTTCAACCTTCCATCCTAACTCCTGGGTTCTCCCGCGCCGCCAGGAAGGTGGGGGTGGGGAGAGAGGCGGTGATTAGTCACTCTCTGCGGTGCTCGCACCTTTTTATATTTGTATTGTTTTGTTGCCTTTAATACTCTCCCATCCAGAAAGTAGTACCCAAGTACACTACCCCTGCACCCCTTCTCAAAATCAGCTGGTGGGCAAACGCCTAAGTGGGATGGAGGGGGTCTATGTATGAGAGACAGGTGAGAAAACTACACCTGACCCCCCTAGACTGAAGCGGAGGAGCTGGGAGGAGCGGCTGACCCCTGAGTCCTAGGGCGCGACCCGCCGCAACGCTAGGCCGGGAGACTCAGCGCGCACGCGCAGCGACGGACGCCCCGCGCGTCCTCCTCGGGCTCCCCCCGCCCATACCACTCCTCCCCCGCCCCGGGTTCACCCCCTCGGGAGAGGGCGACGGGGCGCAGGGAGCGTGCGCGCGGCCCGCCCCGGGCGCGGGCGGAGAGGAGAAGGAGGGGCGCGCGCGGCTCCCAGCCCGCAGAAGCGGGGAGCCGCGCAGGAGGACGGAGCGCCAGCAGCGAGCCGCGCCGCGCCGGTAGGGGGCCCTGAGGCCCGGGGGGTGGGGGCTGTGCGGGCGGGCGGTGCGGAACTTCGCGCCTACCGGGCCCGGGTCCTGGCGAGACTAGGGACCCGGGACTCGTTCGACCCTCGTCTCTGGAAACTTTGTGCCGGCGAACCTACCTTCTCCCGGGCGGTCTGGCGTCCTGGAGGCAGTGTGGAGTGGAGAGGGGGCCCGGAGCCCTCCGCCGCGCCCCCTCCTCCCGGGACGTCGGCGCGCACCCCTGTTGCTCAGCAGCTGCCGCCGATGCGCCAGCCCAGGGACCCCGACCCTTTTCGCTATGCCACCAGCATCCTGGTCTGCTTCTCCCCTCTGACTCCTCTCGCCAGCCTCGCCATGGCCTTTCTACCTCCTCACCCCACCGTGAGCATCCACTTGCGGCGGATCTTCAGGAGCCGCGGAGGCTTTTTCCATCTTCCAAAGGTTTCTAGTGCATTGGTAGAAACAACTTGACTTTCAGCGATGCCAAGTATTCAACTTGAGTATTTTTCTGGTGTGCACGACACCAATAAATAGCTTTTAAAATTTCTCCTAAGTACCCTTGCTCCGGAGCGAAGTTGAGTTGTGTGAGGTGGGGGTGGGGGAAATGAGTGCTGTAGCCACCTTAAGTGGATTGTATAATTATATTTTATTTAGGTGGATGTTGCCAATGGTATCAGCCAGTGTTATGGTAACTGGGCATCCCGGAGGCAAGGGAAGGAGGAGTGACTTAAACATACAGTTTTACTGTGTAGGGATTTTTTTTTTTTTTTTTAACCACCTTGTACTTTCCACCCAGCAGGACCTTAAGGCATTTGGCGTGTGTTAACTCGTTAGCTGTTCATTATAGTTTATAAGAGGAAGGTGGAGAGCATTACCTTCCCGTTTTACAAATGCAAAAACGGAGGCAAAGAGCAAACTTCTGATTCTTGACTGTCCTTAGAGGAATAATGGACCGTAAGATTTAACCCAGAGTTTGCTGGAATTCCTCCCCCTAAGTAGCCACTCCGAAGTATAAATGGAACGTTGAAAAGTCTTCCCTTAAGATTGTACATTTCAATGAAAAAAGAGGCCAGTGATTAGCAGCCCCGTGAATGCTACTGCTACAAAGTTAAGTGACATCTGACAAGTCACAACTTCTCTGTTAATTTCCTGCTCTTTAAATGAAGGGAGCATAAGTACTGTATTCTTTGTAAAGTTGTGTGTGTGTAGGCTCCATTCCCTGGAGCTGAGTTTGGTTATTGTTACTTGTAGACTCATAAAGGTCCCCAGTCTGGGCTCCCTTGAGAAACACAGGGAATGAGGCACTCGCAGAATGAATTACCACCTCTTCTTCGCCAGAGACATCTTGAGAATTCACATCAGGCTGGGTGAGAGCTGCGAATTGAGAATTCCCAGGAGGAGGCAGGAAGGAGCCCTACACAGGCGGCTTGACACATGGGCCCCATTCCTGCCTCCAGCTCTGACTCACCTTCTGACGCTTGGGGGAGGAGAGATAGCTGCTTGGTATTTTTGGCTTTCCCCCATAAAACAGGAGACAGTTTCCTTCATTTCAAGCCTTAACATCAGTGTAGAAGGTGTCCCTGTTGAGTTCTCTCTGAAATCTTTCATATTGGTTGACTGCAGGTATGAATTCTGTGATGTTCTTTAATAGAATGGCATATATATATATATATGTGTGTGTGTGTATATATATAATATCATTTAAAAAATTGGCCAGGTATACAAGTACAACAAATCCTTTAAGATCTTAGCATAAAAACTAACATTTTAAAAAGATGGGCATTAGGAAGGGAACTGTTTGATGGATTCTTTTACAATAGGGATTTTGTTCTAAGACAAGGGGGATTAAAAATATGTTTTTCCAACATCACAAGAAATGCTTTAATTATTCTCTGTGTAAAAATTGAAAGTTTACCAATAGGTTATAGCTTTCTTTTGGACATCTTTCTCAAAAGTAACTGCTGTGTCTGTCTATATTGGTTTGTGTTATCCTTCAGACTTTTCTCAGCATCTTCATAAATGTCTATTGCACAAAGTGAATATCTAGCTGAAATTAATTATTTTACAGTTGTCTGGTTCTGTTTATAGAGATTTTATTTCAGTCCAGAATAAGCAGCGTGCTTTTTTTTTTAGTTCTAGATGGACACACTATATTTATTTATTTATTTTTATGTGGTGCTGAGGATCCAACCCAGCACCACATAAAAATGAATAAATAAATATAGGGCCTCACACCTGTGAGGCAACCGCTCTCCCACTGAGGTACCACCCCAGCCCCAAGCAGCATGCTTTTTAAGTACAACTGATTGTAAAGTTTTATTAACCCTGATGGCATGGTGGTATTTCTGAAGGCAGTAGGTAAATGATCTCTTTATAAACAACTTCAAAGTAATTGAATCATTATGATCCTTACTTTACTCTCAGATGCAAATGAAAACTTTCCCATAAAAAGAAATCTAAGACTAGGGTGTTCATCATGTCTTTGCTTAAAGGAGGCACAAAAGGTAGTGGAAGGCCGGGAGAGTTGCTAAAGCAACAAGGTGTAAACTTACAGAGCTAACATTTAAGGTGGTAGCTTTATTATTTATGAAAGCTTCAGAGGGTGAAGACAAAGGAAAGTGTTAATGGTTGTACAGTTCAAGTAGGTAATTTCAAGAAATGAGTGAGTTAAGTTCATATCAGCAGTTTATGCACTTATGTAGGAAATATTTTTTGAACTTTTACCATGCCAAAGGTACTGTGATGAATATCAGGGTAGAAGGCAAATAAGGTCCCTGGCATTATGAAGCTGATAGGCTCATATTAACATTCAGAGAGGAAGTATTCTTTCCAGACTGGCCAGAGTTGTAATGGTTCTGAATTTCTGGAAATCAACATTATATTTATTTAATCTTTTAAATTGTGAATTATAACATGAAGAAGAAGGAGGTATAAAACAAATGGGTAAATTGATAAATTATTTTAAAGAAAACTCAAGTGTAACTAATCATCTTGCAAGTCGAGAAGCGTCCTCTCCCTGTTCTTTCCTAAGGACAATAGGTAACCTAGCCAGTGACTACCCTGGTTTTTATGAAAAAAAATATCCTTTCTTTTCTATAGTTTTTGTCTTCTAAATAGCATAGTTGTTTTTGCTTGTTTTTCACCTCTATAAATAAAATCGAGTGAGTAGTCTTTTGGATTTTTTTCTTTTGGTTAATATATAATGCTGTAAAAAGTATATATATAATTGCTGCAGCATGCTCTTTTTAAAAATTCATCCACATTGTTGCCTGTGACTCTAACTCGTTTATTTTTGTATGACCTCCCACCAATTGTCTATTATTGAGGGACATCTGGATTGTTTCTGATCTTGGGCAATTATGTCAGGTGTGCATATTTTTAGCTTTACTAATTGATGCTTTTTGCCCAAAGTAATTGTACCAATTTTCATTCTTGCATTGGTGTCTGCCTTGAATCTATAATCCAGTATATTTGCTGTTTAACCACAATATGCTTGCATACTTCTTAAATGAATAAATAAATGACACTTGTGTAGTCTGCAGTACGTTTATATTTACTTCTGTTTAGTTACATAGTTTGGACTAACATACTGCCCAAACCCTAGAAGTGTTTTTCCATTGTGTTTGGTTGACAGATGCCCACTAGAATCCATCCATTGGTTTTTTTTTTTTTTTTTTTTAAGATAGATGACTAGTTATAGAAAATTGAACTACGCAAAATGCAGACTGGAAATAAAAGTGTCTAGTACCTTGAAACCTTTTAAAGGTCTTGAGTGAATCCTACTTCTGGTGAATGCTTGCCTGAGCCCAGCTCTGAATATAGAACAGTGAGTGTATCGTGGGTGCAGGAGCTTGGGCCTATCCTTATTAAAAGTACCTTAGGACAGGGACTCACACATTGTGTGTATACACACATTCCCTACGGGGCAGGGGGGATAGATTATTAAATTCAGGTACTTGTCCCTTTCTTTTCCTATGAGCAGAATGTTATATACATCTGTAGGTTTTTACTAGTTGCTCTGGGGTAGGGGGAATGATGGAAGAGCCCAAAGGACCTGAGATTTATAGTTCATTTTTATTTCTTTTCTTTTCTGTGTTTATTTACATAGATCACAATTTTTTTGTTTGTTTACTAAAGTTTTTTTTTCCCCAGATCTTCCAATCATAATGTAAAAAACCACATACATATAAATTGGAATTTTTTAAGAAAAGATGATGGGAGGTGGATTAAAAAGCATTGTTGGAACCTTTTAATTTGAGTGATAAAGGAAAAGATCCTGCTCGTGTGCTTTGATATCCCCTTGGCCTTCCAGGGGCTGCTCAGGTCACTGCCAGGGACCTGCTCAAGTCACTGCTGGGCATCCCATCCAGCACACCTGGACACATGGAATTCCTGCTCATAACTTAAACTGACAGAGCAACTTCTTATCCCCTTTGGTCAGCTTTTGCATTCCCCTTGCCTGTATTGAAGTCTCAAAACTTCAGTTGATAAAAGGGCTCTTTTGAAATTCATAGTTAACTACTGGGCTGGCTTCTGCCTTTGTCCAGTTTCATCATGGATGGTCCTGGCATGTTTTCTTTTTTACTTCTTAGGTCATTAAGTTTGTGTGTACATATGATAATACTCTTTTTGTTTGGTTTTGAGGTGCTGGGGATTGAACCCAGGACCTTGAGTATACTAGGCAAATGCTCTACTACTGAGCTATACACCCCAAGCACAAGAAAACTTTTTTTTTTTTTAGGCAAAAAAGAAAACTTTTTTTTTTTGTTTGTTTGTTTTGTTTTATTTTGTTTTTGTTGGTGCTGGGGATTGAACCCAGAGCCTTGGGCATGTAAGGCAAGCACTCTACCAACTGAGCTATGTCCCCAGCTCTTTAGTTGTAGTTGGACACAATACATTTACTTTATTTTTATGTGGTGCTGAGGATTGAACCCAGTGCGCTCCGCACATGCTAGGTGAGTGCTCTACTGCTGAGCCACAACCCCATCCTCAAG